TAGCAATTGGGATCTTGAAAGTTTGCAAGCAGCCATCTAGATGCAACAATGGGTCTCTCCTTGTCCAGAGAAGAGAAGAATGAAGAAAACCAAAAACACATGGAAATAATTAATTAGTCCAAGGGACTCGTATACCATGTGATCCTCAGCCTATACAACCATGAGACTAGAAGAACTAGATGGTGCCCAACTACCATTGTCAACCACTCGGAGGGAGATCTATGTAGGAGATGCTGGATAGAGTGGGAGAACAATGTAGAACAAAACTCAAAATCATTAAAAAGAAAAAAAAGGGACCAGGTTTGCTGGTCTCATAGAGCCTGATAGAACCACTGAGATGATGGCTTTTAGCTGCCCTTCAGGTCTGAAATAGAATTCACTCCTGTGGCTTCCAGCCAAACAAAAGACAGGCACATGAGCTGAATGTTTATATTGGGTAGATATACTCCTTGGAGAGAACAATCATGGGAGAATAGAAGGGCCGTGTATGCACAGGGAGACAGGTTAGGGGGCAGGAGTGCATGAAGGGAAGGACACAGGGAAGAGGTAACTATGGGGAGGAAGTGGGAGAGGAGCTGCTGCACTGTGGTAAATTATAGTCAATGTCATGAAAGAAAGTATATGTGAGCTGCTGTATGGAAAGTGAATTTGCCCCATAAACTTTCACCCAAATCACAACAACAACAAAAAAAGAATTCCTACCATGGTGCATGAATCCATTGTCACAGAGTCCAACACCAAATATCATTGCTTCTTCCCTGGAGCGGCAATCCCCCTGTTGACCACAAAAACATGATACAATTTTATAGCCAACAGAAGTCTTTGTTGCACCTTCACTGCATTTGACATTCCCAGCAGTATATTCAGACAAAGCCATTCATAGATTATGATTTCATATGCCCAGGATTCACCTATTGCAATAAAATATCCCCTTATGAAAACATTTTCTTTTGCCATTAGATGAAAAACACAGATTGAATATTTTTTGAGAAAAATATACTCTTAAACATGAAAATAAAATATATTATTACTATAAATGAGCTCCTTCTACTATTTTTTAGATCTTACATCCCAATTAATTATGCAACTGGAAAATATCCTTTATATATTGACAACATAGTAAAGCTACATAAAAATAATTATGCATTGTCACTGCTATTAACTCTTCCCTTCCACCAAATAACCTTGTTGTGTGAGGAACCCTCAAGAAATCCACTAATCTGGAGTTAGTTAAGATGTTAATACTTAAATATCAATAAGTTTTAGAATATCAGACTCATAAAGCTTCAACAAGAGAGAAGAGACCTCATGTATAGCTACTCTAGTAAGTATTAAATAGTTGTGAGAGCAAAAATCCAAAAGAGATTAAATGGATATTCCAAATTTCCATAACTAGTTATTAGCAGGATTGACATCAGAAGCAAGGTTGCCTGAGTTCCAGTCCATTGCAGTTTCTACTACATATAATTTCTACAGATGTTGTAATAACAGACCACTAAGAAAACTGAAGGTAAAAATAATTGCAACATCATTCAATTTTTGAGCAATTTATTCAGTTCTTCTAATACTAATGCCTTGAAAGGACATAAAGTTAATTCCTAAAAAGGTTGGTAATCAGCTTCCTGAGTCAGAACATCAAATATTTATTCAGCAGTAGATTTTGCCCCAAATAAACCCTCTTTAATCTTCTCCTGTAAGCAACATATAGTATAAGTTTATGTGAATTCCATACATAGTTTCCATGTAAAATTCCTACTCTAATACAGAGAGCACAATCAATTCCAATGATACTAATTGACTGTGGAGTTATAAAAGCTTTTGAGCACTAGAAAACCCACTGGAAGAACAATAAGGATTCTTTCTAAAAGTAATCCTTTGATTTAATCTAAAATCTTAGTTTCTTAATATAATAAAAGTAAGTGCTAGAAAATCCAAAAATAAGTGATCTTGAACAGTCTAGATATTCATATTAAATAATAAAAATCTTAAAATGTATTTGTTCAAATTATATATGCATTAAACATTAATATTTGAAATAAAAATATTCATAATTAAATGCCCAATGTTATTATCTACTTGTAACAAAGAAAGTAGGCTGCATTAATAACCAATAAACAAATAAAACTTCATAAAACTGATGCAAATAAGCACTTAGTAACTCATATTTTAATCAAGCAATATCCCCTCCCCCACAAATAGTAAGTTCAATTAAACTGAAGCTCTGGTAGCATAATGCCTAAGGTATTTGACTGTTAATCAAAAGGCTAGTGGTTCAAACCCACCAACCACTCCTAGGAAGGAAGACTGGGCAACATACTTCTGTAGAGATACAGCCTCAGAAACCCAAGGAGGGGTCACTATAAGTTGGATACTACTGGTTGGCAATGAGTTTTTTTTGTTGTTGTTGTTGTTGTTTTTTTTGGTTTAGCCTTTCCTTTCATAATCAATGGAAATCATTTTATCATTGATTAGTTGAACTAATGCCTAAGACATTTGACTGCTAACCAGAAGTTTGGCAATTCAAACCCACTAGTCAGTAGCTCCATGGAAGGAAGACTGGGCAATCTACTTCCCTAAAGATTTACCACCTCAGAAACCCAATGGGGGTCACTATGAGTCGAAATAAACTCAATGGCAGTGAGTTTGGTTTTGGTTTTGGTTTAATATGATAAAATATATTCAATAAATTCATATTTGAATATATAATATGATGAGCTAGATATCCTAATTAGTTTTATTTATGAGCAAATAAGATTTTGTCAATACTAACCATTAGCACCCTCATCCTAAGAGGCACAGCAACAACAATCAATACATTTTGTACTTTCTATTTAAAATGTATGCAGATGTTCACTAAAGCTTGTATTATCAAAGGACAATTACAAAAGTCTTTCAAAAGTTTGTTTACACCACATCACCTTTACAAAAAATCCTACTGTTAGTACCTGTTTTCTCTTACTAAAAGAAAGCTGAAGAGGATTTTTGCTTTCTCGAAAAATGGCAAAAAGTGAAACTAGCATTCAGTGTTTGTTTTGCAGTGAGCTGTTAAAGCAGCAGCTTGCACCTCCAACAGCAAAGGTGGTGTCACCAAGCTCCTTCCCTGGAAACTATGCTGTACATAGATAATTTGTACTTCCTATAGGCTGTGTATTTATCTTATCATTCCTGCTTTTACTATATGTTACTGTTATTTTAGGTTTTAGGTGTTGTTTGATACGATTTGGCAGCTTATTTTGGTGGGAACACTCAAAAAATTTTCCCATACCAATTAATTGCTTCTTTACTTTACAACATTTTGGCTTATGAAATCTTTCATAAGAACACTCTACTTTTGAATGGCTGGGGAAACCTATATTGCCTAACATGGAAAAGGTGCAGGTATATTAGAATAATTCACTAGGACCAATAAATATACTTCAAAACAATGAGTGAAAAAAACATACAAAATTAATATATGAGCATAGGTATTCTTCAATAATACTCAAATTATGCTTTTTTTTTTTCAGTGGATTTCATCAGATGGGAGCTCTGGTGGCATAGTGCCTAAAGCATTTGGCCAGCCACTCCTGGGAAGGAAGACTGGGCAATCTACTTCCACAGAGAAAATGCCTGGGAAATCCAAGTAGGGGTCATTATGAGTTGGAACCGACTTGACAGCGGTGATTTTTTTTTTTTTAATCATCAGATATTTATTATAATGGGAATATCTTCCTTTGTAAAGGCAATGTAACATAATGGTTAAATTTGAAGGCTCTGGAGCCGAGTAACTATGTTCATATCTTGATTCTGCTTCTTATTAGCTGTCTGACCTGGGGCAAGTAACTTCATTGTGCCTCATCTGTAAGAGAATAATAAAAAAAATAGGACCTAACTCACATGCTCAAAGTTTAAAACAGCTATAAATGAAATTTAGTAACTACTGCTTGTCTATTTACCTGTGCAATTAACCAATCTATCAGTTTGTTGGCCATAACCACAGATTTGTAGGTCCTTAAATGATAATCTTTATCTCTATAAAGGAAAAAGAAATAAAAAACATTAAACACAGGGAGAAGCGGGCTCTGGGAAACATTTTCCTTTACTACCCCTATGCAAGACAAAAGTTTATACAGTATAGTTTAGACAAAATATGTGTAACTGAGATTTACAAAGTATGTAAAACACCTGTGTGATAGTTGGAGCTGTGTGTCAACTTGGCTGGACCACAATTCTGTGTGGTTGAAGCAGTTGTAGTATGAGTTATTCCCATGATAGGATCAGATGTGTATGTTTTGAGCAGTCAGTCCTTTGAAGGGGAGTTTCCCTAGGGATGTGGCCTGCTTCCAATATATTTATGGATATCCAGGAAAAAGAGACACTCTTCTGTGATTCAAGATCCTGTTGTGCCACCTGCAACTGTCCCTGAGCGAACAATCCAGGATTTGGCCTGAAGATCTTGGATTCATCATTTCTTGGAGTCAAGAGACAGTATACTGCCAGCCAACCTTGAGCTTGTCAGCCCCCGCACCTGCTTGAGTCAGGAAAACCCTCCAGCTTGATGTTTGAGCCAAGAACTTGGGACTTGTCAGCTTCTATAAGTGTGTAAGTCATTAATTAAACAATAATAAAATAGAGGTTCCAGTAAGATGGTGGACTAGGAAGAAAGACTGCACAGACCCTCTTCAACAAAAAAAAAAAAAAAGGAAACCAATTAACACAGACACAGAAGATAATCTTAGATGCCTGAGCCTTGAAGGGAAGGATATAGAAGTGGACTAAACCCCAACTAGCAGAAGAATTTGCATGAAAATACCAAAAAAGGAGATATATGGAGCTGCAGTCTGGCAGCGATTCTGAACGACGCTGACAGCACAGACAGCTTGGAGATTCCTGAGTGGTGGTAGGACCTAAGAATTAACCTAAAAATCAGCCCTCCTAGCCAGGGACTACACGCAGGACTGCTCTGGTGGCTGGGGAATAAAAGGAGAAGGTGAAGAGAAAAGAGGGTTGAGCTGTGGAGTTTTGCCTGTCCAGAGGGCACCACCATTTTGAATGTTTACAAGCAGATGGACCATTTCTGATATTTAAAGAGACAGCGCTCTCCCAGATTCCAGGGGCTTAAGATTAAGAACACATTCTGTCTTCCAGCAACTCCAAGGGCACTCTGGACCTGCACAATTGAAAAGGTGTGACATTCCTCTTGTTACTCTTATACCCAACACCTGCTTGGTGAATGGAGGTGCAGCCATCCCCCACTCCCACCCACCTTCTGGGGCCTCAGGATATCCATCCCAGTCTGTGTGCTCAGACGGAGCCTGGGTGCTCTGCC